CCACAAGTAATAAAAGTATGAAAAAAGTAAACAAGTTTCACCCAAAAGTTTAGTCATAGTTCTGCTGCCACTGAAAAACATCTGTAAACTGTTGTCTGTTTTAGGGTTTGCTGGTGTGTTTCAGGATCTTCCTCAGGCTGCAGCTGTAAAAGGAAAATATAATATACTTCAGTAAAGCAATGGGCTGAGTCTGACCAAATGCAACATAAGATCATTTACACCAGCTAAAATATAACTTTTCAGCAAGAACCGGGTTGACCGGGTACTCGGTACCACCGGTACTTAAAAAAACCTGGTACCGTAACGTTTTCATTTTTTTAGTACCGACTTGGTACCGAAATACCGGGTCTTTTGACAACACTAGATTGTTATTAGATTCTCATTACTGTAATTCTTTATTGTATTGCACTTTTTTAAAATTCAAATCTGTATGTTCTGTATGTTGCAAGACGTAAAAGTAAATAATAAAATAGGAGTGCACACCATTTTTTTCTTTTGAAACTCAAATCAGAATAAATTATAAACTCCATCATAAATACTACTATAATCAACTGAAAACTATATATTAAGTCACATTTATGTAGATAACCCTTTATATAACACAGATTGTTTCAAAGCAGCTTTACATTAATAAACAGGAAAATAACACTTAATGCTATCAAATTCATAAATTATGAAACAACCTCAATTTTAGCTGTTATGCAGAAGAAAATTGTGTCATTATTCAGCTCAATTTAGTTCAATATTGTTTCAAATCAGTTCTATATCTGTCAGTGTTGCAAAGTTAATCAATTATGAATAAGCTACAAGCAGCTCTACAGGAGGCAACAGTTTATTAATTGTCTTTTAAAAAGTTTAAAAATAATTATTAATGCATAAATAATATAAGAATATATATATATATATATATATATTTATTTATTTATTTTTTCATGCAGCTCCATCTGTTTTAATACTAATTTTATACAATTTTTTCAGCATTGCCTCATCAGGATACTGCCACTAATAATACTGCCTGTTATTATTCCGGGAACCCAATCTCACAGCTGTCTGGAATGTCCCTTGATCACGGAAACAGGTGCACACATTCACGAATCACGTTTAGTTTCGTATAATACTCACATAATTATTCCAAACAAACAAAACAATATGCCAGTTGGGCAAGAGTTATACTTCACTCTAAAAAACAACCTTTATTTCTAAGAGTGCAGTCAGATGTGACAATACAACACTGTAGATTTCCGCACATTACAGGAGTCAAAACATATAGCCTATATTTACAGTTTAGTATAAATCCATGCTATAATATTTAAAATAATAATAATAATAATAATAGAAATCCAAGAGGATAATCCACTAGTCTGAACTGTTATTCAGAGCCGTTTTATTTTCTTGACATAACTGTTGGATAAAACTTGCAGGAACATTTTAACCTATAACTGATGCTAGTTATCTGGATAAACAACTCACTGTAGCTGCATTTCACGCCCAGATTAACTAGATATCAAAACAAGAGCACTCTTAGTCCGTTTAAAGGTCATACATAAATACAGGATTGACTTACCCGGCTAATATCACACGCACAGTGATTCTGAAACTGAGCAGATGTCAGATTTCCCTGCACGGATCCTGAACATACTATATGTTCAGCAGAACTTCACCGAATTCCTGCAGCTACACCTCCCGTGCATCGCGCGCACCGCGTCACTCAGGTGAGCCGAGCCGAGCCACACCCACCGGAGCTCGCGCGTTCACTTCCTCAAAATCTCACCCAATCTCGCAAACGTTTGTATTTCTTTACATACTAATGAGATGACATTCATTTGTGCACTTATGGTCACATAGAAGAAGTGGAGGTGTTTAATTCGTTTTTTTCCCTTTATTTTTAATCTGCTGGTTTTCCAGAACTGCGCCATCTGCTGGTAAAGTGAGTCACTACATGAAGCTGATTGAGATTGAAGTTGATTCTTCTGATGAAGTCAGTGTAGTTTTAAAGGGGTCATATGATGCTGCTAAAAATAACATTATTTTGTGTATTTGGTGTAATGAAATGTGTTTATGCAGTTTAAAGTAAAAAAAAAAACATTATTTTCCACATACTGTACATTATTGTTTCTCCTCTATGCCCCGCCTTTTTGAAACGTGTCGATTTTTACAAAGCTCATCGGTCTGAAAAGCGAGGTGTGCTGTGATTGGCCAGCTAACCAGTGCGTTGTGATTGGCCGAATACCTCAAGTGTGAGACGGAAATGTTACGCCCCTCACCATACTGTTGTATTCCCTCAGCGACCAGCACAGATCAGCTCCAGGCATGACGAAGCAGATATCGTCCTCTTTTGGAAGACCAAACAAAGTAGTTTCGTCACGAAGCACACAGCGTCTTCACGACATGGCGGCAGCAACAACAATACTACAGCGAGAATAAAAGTTACGCCTTCTTTCTTTGCGTGAACATTTGGGCGGCGTTATGCAAATCTTCCCACATCGTGATGTAGACATGTGGGGGCGTGTTAGAACGAGCCGTTTTAGGTAGGTGTGGCTGACTCTTAACTTTTATAAAGAATATCTCTTTGGATTTGAGACTTTAGTCTTTGCAACTTTACAGATCTTCTTTATACACCAAGAGCTTGTAACACTCCAAAGAGAAAGGAAAAATTGAAATCGCATCATATGACCCCTTTAATACTTTTAATGTTACAGTATGATGCGAGATTAACTTTCTCCAAGCGTTAGGCTAAGCTACTGTCCATAATAGGAATATTTATGAGTACACATTGACAAATTCAATTCACTTCTACTTCTATTACATAGTGATAATTACAGTGTTGGGGAAAGATACTTTTAAAGGAACGCATTATAATATTGTTACTCCATAAAAAGTAACTAATTTCGTTACTTTTTGTGGAACGTAATGCATTGTTACTTTTGCGTTACTTTTTGTCACCTGAGCTGTGCTTGTTTATTTAATTTTAATAACCAACTGTAATGGCCCTGTAATGTAACAAACTTAATAAGAAACTGTAAAAGCCCTTTCACACCAAAAGTGAAAGCAATGAGCCTCAGGCTGAAGGAAGCGCCTCTGCACTTACTCCCGATTTCTATAGGAATAAATAGGAAAACAAAGTAACTTGCATTACTTAATTGAAAAAGTAACTCAGATATTTTCTTGTAAATTTATAAGTAATGCATTACTTTACTAGTGATTTGAAAAAGTAATCTGATCGCATAGCTTGCATTATAAATGGTACTCATAACCTTCTGTCCTGTAACTTAATTAGTATTCATGAACCTTCAGTAAAAATAAAATGCTATTTAAAAACGATTAAATTAAAGGTCTCTTCTATTATTTTATTTTGAAATATAAATATAGTAAATACATTTAAGCATGAGCAACTGAACTGTCACTTCATATAAAATAATATAATGTATTGGATTTGTTTTTGTGTAATGTGTATCAAGTATTTCACAGACACAAATTGTTATTTAAATGTTTATTACATTACGGTTGCCATTGGGAAAGATTACAATAGTCTGCCTATGAAAGCCAGGCTGAAAACAGGAAAAACATGTAACTGACCCTGACACTGTAGGCCAATAAGAGTTTATAAATATTTCTAAATGGAGTGATTATGAATAGAAAATGTTCTAATGGCATTGACGTGCACATCTTTGTTTTCAGCATCACTATGGCATCAGATAAACGAAAGCAGAATGTTCCCAAACTCAAGGAGAACCGTGCTTATCACTTATACTTGTAACTTATGTCTTTTTTTTTTAGTTGTACAGACAAAAAAAAAAAAACACTCAAAATACATCAACTCTACCCATCGCACAGTGAATGACAGACAAATTACATTGATATGCATGTGTAAATATGCACACACATATACTTTCTCACACATGCGCACACACACATACAGATTCACATCCGGCACTTTTCTGATGTCTAGTTACTCTAAACACATTAACAGTAAAGAGCAAGCTACAGTTGCCAAGCGGGAAAGAAAAGCTTCATTATTGGGGAGCGCAGCATGGCTGAATACAGACATTGGCTTTTGTTGTCCCATTATGGGTTTCATAATCTGTTTTTCAGCAGCGGTTGCTGGATAGGTCTGATTAACATTCTGAGCTATGTTATCTGGGTAGACTTATATGGCCAATTATCAGTTGTGATCTCTGACGCCACCTGGTTGTGTTTTTGCATTATATACAGTGCAAAGAGACTACTGGAAAAATGCTTCTTTTTTGCACGTTTATATATATATATATATATATATATATAT